AAATAAGAACAGGTGTGAGTGGCTTAGTGGAATTTTTCTCGGCTCTTCCTTACTAAGTTCTATGTTCAAGTCCTGGTGATGTCTAAATGAACATTATTATTTTTTCCCTTATTCACAGCAAATTACCATTCTGCCACTGTTTAAAAAATAATAAAATAAGAGAAAGAGAAAGTGGAAGAAGTCAGAACGCGCGGGTTATTATTCCCTTCTCCTCCATTTCCTGATTTTTCAAGAACCCAAAGAAAGAGAGGGAGAGAGCGCCAGATTCCTTCTTCATGCGTCTTCCCTCTCAGTTCGTTAGCCGATGACTGTGGGTGCATCTCTCGTCACAGTTGCTGGAGATCGAAGGTGCGCCAGATTTTCTCCTTTTTGCTCTTCTTCCATGCCTTGCTTCATCGTCCTCCTTCTCTGTTCTTTCTCCATCCGTGCATCGTTGCTGGTGTGTTAGGAGCCAAGTCTCCAAAACTGGAAGATTCTCTTGCAAGACCTTCTTCTTGGTTTGATGCCATCAATTCTTTCTCTTCCTTCCTCAGGTAATAGTGTTGAAGCCCTTCCCCTGTCTAGTGTGGCAAGTTCTTCTTCTTTCTTTCTTCGTCCTGTTCCTACCATTGATAATCTGAGGTGAGAGACTTCACCCTCCCTCCTTGTCGATCCTGCGCGTGTGTTTTGACTGAATTGTGTTTTCTTATTTTGTTGCTGTGGTACGTGTTAGGAGGAGGTAAATGAGGTTAATCAAATAAAAAAAAAACTCGGAGTTTAAGAGCATGAGTTGCGGTAGGTAATTTCACTGCAACAAGAAGAAATTAGATTTAAATTTCTTTGAGTTTAAATGGGAAGTTTGATGAACTCAAATTGGCATTGGAAACTATTGGAATCAGAGTGGGTTGAATTTTAATTGAGCTTAAATGAATCCTAGAAAGGGAATCTGATTGTGAAAGCATGATGAATTTAAGTATGGATATTTGGGGACTCGTTTGGCTAGCGATTGAAGGCTAAAAAGTTTAAATTGAATGAATTGGAAACTAATGCACACTAGTGTTCGTTAAAATGTCCAATAGAAATCAAATCTCAATTAAATAATTAGTTATGGCAAAAGTATCATAAAGAAACTGTGATAGAAATGATGATATTTGGGAAATTTTTAATTATTTAAATTGATTGTGGTGGTGTTATGTTGGAAGGCAGACTGTTAAACTTGTTAAAAAGCCTTTTAAAACCTTATTATATTTTATAGGGTATTTAGAAGAAAAGAAATTTGGAAGGATTATGTCTTTGAATTTGGGAACCATCAGGTGAGTGGATAATGTCTCAATTGATTTATATATTTCCTTTTATCAATATATGGTTTTCAATTATTTATAGTTATTAATATATTTTACTTGGAATAGCTATTTTTTATTAATTAAAATTGTTTTATTTCTTAATTCATGACATATACTTAATAAATTGACGACGAAAAGCTTTTGCAAATTTTAGTACTCCTTGGTTTGATAAAGACAATTATGAAAATTGGCCGGTGAAGAATTTTATCAACCATTAGTTGTGAATTTTTATATTTCAAAGATTGATATTTTAAATGATTCATGCGAGTTTGATACTGAAAAAGTAAATTAATATTTTGAAAGTGATATTTTTTCGTATGTCTAAAAGTAGAATTAAAAAGAGAATTTACATAAAATTGGTTGCTAACTATAGTTCTGTTAGCCCTTAGCATGCCATGGTCAATGACTAGCTAGTTTGATTTTCATGAGCTTTGTTTTCATATCTGTTATTCATGGATCTTGTACTTACATTTGTTTCATGACTTCAACCACATCTAGTTAGTCACCGCTGTAAATTGTGTGTCTATGTCTGTTTTGTGGCTTCGATCACATCTAATTAGTTACCCTCATGGACTATGTATCCATGTCTGTTTTGTGGCTTTGACTACATATGGTTAGTTATTCTCATGGATTGTGTATCTACATTTGTTTTGTTTTGATAAGGCCCAAGAATATGGTTTTTAATTATTTGGTGATTTCATACTCCATTAGTTCAAATTAGATTAGTAAATGTTTCTATATTTATTTATTTTATTTATTTTTCTTCTTGAGAAAGACTTTACTTAAGGTTATATAGAATCTCTTATGTTCAAAGTTTATAAATATCGCTTTAATTTATATAATCATTATCATTTATTCATTTTATTCTTTTAAATTTTATCAATATTGAGATATTATTCACTGAAAAGTATTTATTTATTCTCAAATAACATAATTGACGCTATACCTTTTACTGACTTTTGAGGGCTCATTGCTAGATTGATTAGAAGATCCTTTGAGGATACATTCTTTTTGATGTAAATGCTTAATTATATATTATATTTTGAATTTATAGTTAGTTGCTTGATGTTAATTATAGGTAGGATTATTATTTGTAATCTATTTGTCTATCTATTATGGAGGGGTAGAGTTTTGCATTTATGATTTGGGCTATATATAGTTGTTGTAGAGACTTTTTGAAGGTCTAATTATAAGGAAGGTTTTGCTGAATTTCTACAAAAAGTTTAGGAAGTCTTTTGTAAAAATGAAAATGTTATAATATTTTCCAAATCATATTACATATAAGGTTAATAAGCAAATTGAACTCTGAACTCTTGCTTGAAAATCACCCTAGATCTTCAACTTTTAAAATATACAAATAGATCCTGAACTTTTAAATTCATAGCAAATAAACCCTGACGTTAATTTTTTTTAATACCGTTACTATCCATGCGGGTATTGTAACAGTCAAGGTTAAATTCATAGCAACATAAACCTTGAACATACTTGTATGGACAATAATAGTATTAAAAAGTTAACGGTCAGGTTTTATTTGCTATGAATTTAAAAGTTTAGGGTTTATTTTATATATTTTTAAGAGCTTAGGGTCCAAAGTGATTTTTGAGCAATAGTTTTAGGGTCCTATTTACTCATTAACCCTATATATAAATTTAGGTATTAGATTTGAGATTTCTTAATTAAGACTTAAGAGATGTATGTCTGTGCATGCGTCCTGTATCGGTCACATTTAATGTTTGGGACATGATAATGGGACTACCAGTCCCACAATTTAAATCAAACATGCATAAATCGTAATGATAAATCATTCCTCAACCCATAAATCAAACATTATCATATATAAAAATAATGATGGATACCCACGTAAAATAATTTAACTCTTCTTTCAAAACTTAGTATATTAAAAGCATCTTTTTCTACAATAATCTATAATAGAACTTAATATATAATGATAAAATAGTCATGGATAGGCTTAAACATTATTTTAGAGAAAACAATTTATTAATAGGTTATTTTGGATGCTATTCACTTGCCTGACAAATTTTCAAACATACATCCTTAAACCTTATCAATAAAATTTTTATTTAATATCTTAATTGGCCACTTTGTAATATTGCCCTGTCACACCCTAAAAATTAGGCATGACCAACATGGGACATATGCACAAATATACATCCCTTAAGCCTTAATCAATAAAATTTTTATTTAATATCTTAATTCATTTGAAGTACGTTGGAAATTATAGTACCATTTTTCATATAAATAAAAGATTCCTAAACTTTCTAGAGAGATTTTCGAAAAAATTTTTCTCTGTAAATATAACCTTCTGAATCTCTATAATAATTGCTAGCAAATAAATTAATAATATAGAGTTTTACTCTTCTCGACAACTGATAGTCGATATAAATTTACAAATCAAAATCACATCTATAGTTAATGTCGAGCACTTAAATTTAGTTTCAAAATATAGCACATAGTTGAATATATACATCAAAAGAAAATTTGATCTCATAATAAATATTCACCCAACTAGTGGCAAGCCTTTCAATAATCGGCAGGAGGTTCAATACCAACTAATGAATCTGAGACCAAAACATTTTTCAGTAATAGTATCCCTAAAAATAGAATTTTAAAAGAGTAAAATAATAAACTTAATAATTATGTAAAATACTTGAAAAGATGATAATTCAATATATTAAACTTAATAAGCATGTAAATTTTAATCACAACCATAAAATCAAAGTAAACTGGAATTGCTTTATTCAATCACGCTTGAAGAAAACAAATTATTCAAATATAAATCAAAGTAGCACACTTACTAACTGAAATCATAAAAATTTCAAATATAATAGTTAAATAAAAAATTTTAGAATTTTGAGAACTTAACAAAACAGGTAACAAACATGGACACACAGTCCATGAGAGTAAAATAACCAAAGCAGCTTATGTCACAAAAACAAACATGAACACATAGTCTAGGAGAGTAAATAACTAGACACAGCCGAAGCCACGAAACACATGGACACATAGTCTATGAGGGTAACTGACAAGACAAGGCTGAAGCCATAAAATAGACGTGCGTACAAGACCCACGAATAATAAACATGAGAAGAGAGCTCACAAAAATCAAACTAGCTAGTCATTGACCACAGCATGCCAAGGGCCAATAAAACTGCCATTAGCAACTAGTGTTTTATATAGAGTCTTCTTAAAAATCACATTTCAAACATGCGAGAAAAATAATTATTACTAAAATAAGATTTTCGTTTGGCATGAATTGTTTTAAATCTCAAAGCTTTCCAAATAATACTTCATAGCTAATGTATAAGCTTGCATTAGTTGAGTGACCAAGAATTTCCAGACTAAAATAAACAAAGACCTTCATTAATCTCGAAAGCATATTTCTTAAAGAAAATACATGCACATAGAATAATTTAACTAACCTTCATTATCATTCTATAATTTTCAAAACCAAAATAATTTAATTAACAAAGTACTTAATAATCATCATAGTTGATAAAAATGATTTATATAAAAATGTAATATTTTCAAAAACAGACTACTTTTATAGATAAAATAAGGGGGGTGCTATTCACTTACCTGTAGAGTTCCCAAGTGTATATCTTACTTCCAACCTAGTCTCCTAATGACAATGCTTTCTCCTTAAATTTCCATGTGAAGTTGAAAGAGGGAAGAACTGTCTCACATAAAGCAACAAGGAAGAACATAGCCTAAGAAGCAGATGAACAGAAGACCAACAAGCTGAACCACAATTGGCAAGTGAGTGACTTGCAATGCGAAACAGGGGAAACTCACAGTCGAAGCTCTAAAAATGGCAGCCGAGCTCTGTAGTGTTTCCTAGAGTGGACTCCTTGAAGCAGTGAACTCACGGTGAAGTCGAGACCTATGCCGGCGAGAACGCGATGATGGAGAAGGAAGAGGAAGAAAACAGAGATGGCTAAGGGTTTTGGTCCAAGCTTCTCTCTCTTGACTGGTCTAGAATTTTTGAAAGTTGATACAAAGAAGAATGAAGAATGAGCTGACCGACTTCCACTGCCACTCTCATTCATTTATTTTCATTTTGTTGGTTTTTAGTAGGAGGAGCATTCTAGTAATTTTACCCAAAACTGAAGCTAGAAAATAAGGTAGAAAAATGCACTGATGATCTCATGAGGATCGATCCCATGACTGACATAAGGAATGTTAATCCAACTCCCACTAAACCTGCATCCATTCTTGCTATATATTTTTTATTTTTTTATATCTTCCCACATTATTACCATAATTAAATTTTTGAGTTATTACATGGCCACACTTTAATTCCCTATCTCCCAAATAAACATTATTGTTATTTCTCTTGTACAATTCATAAATCCTAAATCTTCAATCCAAACAAATTCAGATAATTGGAAAAGAAAATCAGAACATCAACCTTTTACAAATAAGAAATACTACTACAAAAAATGCAAATAGGAGCACCCATTTTGAAGTGCTTTCATGAAAAGAGCTCTGAATATACATGTAAAAACATTTAAGAGAGCTTATTAAAAAAAGTGTTTCAGAATGTAACAAATGAGAGCGCTTATCTAAAAAAGTGCTTTATAAATTTGTAAAAAAAATTTAAAAAATCAAAATGCATGTCAAAGCGCTTTGGAGTAAAGCGCTCTAGAAAGTTAATAGAAAAAATAAAAAGGCCTACTAGAGTGCTTTTATCAAAAGCACTTTGAATAGCCAAAAAAAAAATTGAATAAAAACCTACTAAAGAAGAAAGCACTCCTATAGATTAGCAAGCAAAAGTAAAGTTCATGCCTTTTAGCGCGTTTTTTATAAAAGCACTTCAAAAGGCTGTATTTTTTTTTTTTTTTATGCTTGTTTAAGTTTGAGACAGATCGTGTACATGCCCCACTTCAAATTTTTTCTTCCTCTCTCTCCCAAACCCCCAACCCTCACCCCTAATGTGTTTCAAGTGTCATCGATCTCCCTAGCTTTCCTTTGTCATCTCACTGCCGTTGGCCACCTTGCCGTCATCAGAAGCCGCATCGTTTGCCTTCATCGTTCCACAGTGAGCTATCGCAAATCCGCACATCCCCGCCTCTGGAAAACCTTTGACCGGCTCTCTTCTCCATTAAGGCCTTCCATTGTGTGCCAACCCCCGTCGTCCATCAACTGTCCACCTTTTGCCGTCATCCATTGCTCTAGATCTGTCCATTGTGCTTTAGATCCACAAGCCGTCGTTGATCTGTGCTTCAGATCTGCATGGGTGCTTCTTCTACATGTATAAATAAATATACTGTTCGAAAGCAACTGATACTAGGCCACCAATTCATCTTGTGAAATTTATCTCAAAATTTATAAAATATCATCCAAATAATTTTATTACAATTTGTTTTTAAAATTAATTTTTAAATTCAATTAATTGAATTAATTTTTTTACATCATGATTATTTTCAGGGTCATTACATTCCTCTCCTTTTGAAATTCAATCCTCCAAATTTATATTGCAGATGATTTTCTTCAATATCGTGACTGTGATCGCTATACGAATTGCAATTATATAATAATGAGGGTGTTAAGTTGAGACTGATTATCTCATTGCTAAACACGTCAGATAGATACTCACCATTTCTCCACATAATGCCCCATTGACTTAAATTTAGGAAGTTTTCTAAACCCAATAGACCATTTTAAGAGCTGAACAATGTAATCACTTTGGAAAATCGCACACCTACTTAAAATTCAAGCCCAAATTTTCGCACAAACCTTTAAAGACAAATAGAGCCCAAATACAATTAGTTCTTAACAGCCTTTAACTACAAGGCTATCCCAAAAAAAAAAAAAGTCTTAAAACCTGCAATCCTTTCAACTGACTTAAATTTAGGAAGTTTTCTAAACCAATAGATACCATTTTAAGAGCTGAACAATGTAAATCACTTTGGAAAATCGCACACCTACTTAAATTCAAGCCCAAATTTCGCACAAACCTTTAAAGACAATAGAGCCCAAATACAATTAGTTCTAACAGCCTTTAACTACAAGGCTATCCCAAAAAAAAAAAAAGTCTTAAACCTGCAATCTTTTCAACCAAAAAATCATGAATATGCAATAACAAAAATCGTTCTGCTAACAAGATCAAGTTTCTTCTGAATAGGAAATCATCACCGGCCACCAAGCCACTTCTGAGTTCAAAACATCACAGTTCAATCACAATCATAAATCTTTATTCACAACCATGTAATTTATTCAATAACATGAAATAAAATCCGTGAAAATATGATTGTAAGAACATTGCTCTCTTTCAACTCCACAGATCAAGCAAAATACTGACTTCTTTAGACTAAAACAAAAGTTACGAATCAACGTAATATCTTAAGCAAAACCAATTTTTTTAAAAAAAAAATCTTTGAATCAATAAGATTAACATATTCAAAACCGGAATTATAAATTTTTCACACAAAATCCTTATCCAATAGTCACGTCAAGCTAAAATTATATATAATATATATATATATATTGAGTATCACACAGTCTTCCCCATAAAGAACGTAATCAAACAATCAACATTGTAACTTGATCTAAACCATGGTATTTATGAAGTTAATAGTCATTCTATCCAACTACATGCAGCACCTGTGTGCTTGAAAAAACAAGGGGAAAAAAAAACAATTCTCTAAGCAAAATAAGAGCAAATGACAATTTCCTTAAGTCAAAGCAAAACTTTCAAATTTTAAACAACTAGACAACTTTTTCCCCTTTTTTTAATAACACTCAAACTTTCCACAGACCAGCACACATTAATCTTCTTTTCCCACTTAAATACGCATTAGGTTACAAGTAATAATATCTTCCATGCTTTCAGTACCATTGATCCTACCTTGAATGTGAATAAATGCACTCGAAGCCCTATAGCAGCATTCTTTTCATTATGTTTCTGGTACAATGCATGTTATAACTGTAGCTAGCTATTTCTTTGTTCAACATCAAATAAGACTTTCTGTTTTTACAAAGTGCCAAAACCATTTTTGTTAACAAGAAATTGACCAAAATTAAGTAGACGCAGTCTTATATCTACAATGCCAATCAACAATAATAAGTTGTCTCCAATGTGTTATTAGCCTGTCAACCTTCTTATAATTGTTTAGAGAGATACCATTAAAAAAAAAACCATATGAGGGCACTTGCCCCAGCATAAGTACATTCGATGAAATTTTAAGAAGCTTATCATGTATAAAATAAAGAATAATAATGCCCTACAAACAGGAAATCCACATAAGATAATTGCTCAAAAAAGTCTGAGAAGAAAGGGCACAATGAATCAATCAAATAAGTTCAATTCATATGACCGACAAAAAGTATCCTGAATATGTCCATTTTCAAAAAGAGAATGATTTAGTTTGCCTGTGCCTATCAATACCCCCAAGCCTTCCAAGCCTTCACCTAAGCCCTTAGCTTGTACAAATCCTCTTCCAGCTACTAACAGCCACAGATTAACATAATTGCTGATGATCATTTAACAATTTCTTGACGAGGATCGATTCTATCAAGGTCAACAAATCCCATAACCATCCCATAGAAAAGCCTTAGCCCTCAGCCTTAGCCCTCTGATCCTTATTGACTAAACTTGATCATTTACTTTATCTATTTTTTTGTTTTTTGAGTCTATTTTGCCTTGTAATTATCTTTGTCTAAGTTTCTTAATTAATACTGCAATATTTCAGTTCTATTATGTTCTTACATTGTGGTTCTAAATTACACTACAAAAAAAATAAACTTTCAGCGGTGACTTTCAACGGCGACACTAAAAAGTCGCCGTTGATTCTCAACTTTCAGCGGCGACTTTAGTGTCACTGCTGATTCTCAACTTTTAGCGGCGACAGTAAAAGTCGCCGATGAAAGTCACACTTTCAGCGGGTATTTTTAGTGTCGCCGTTGATTGTCAGCATTTTTAAATTTTCTTAAAAAAATTATGTTGCAAGTTTCAAGTCGCCGCTAAAAGTCAACTTTTAGCCGCCACTTTTAGTGTCATCGCTGATTGTCTGCATTTTTTTATTTATTTTAAAAAAATTATGTTGCAAGTTTCAGTGGCGACATACAAGTCGCCACTGAAAGTCGACTTTCAGCAGCGACTTTTAGTGTCGCCACTGATTGTCTGCATTTTTTTATTTGTTTTAAAAAAATTATGTTACAAGTTTCAGCAGCGACATACAAGTCGCTGCTGAAAGTCAACTTTCAGCGACGAGTCACTGATTGTCAGTATTTTTTAATTTCTTTTAAAATAATTATGTTGCAAGTTTCACCGGCGACATACAAGTCGCCGCTGAAAGTCAACTTTTAGCAGCGACTTTTAGTGTCGCCACTAATTTTTTTTATTTGTTTTAAAAAATTATGTTGCAAGTTTCAAGCAGCGACTTTTTAGTAATCGTTGCCGCTATTATCAGCATTTTTGAATTTTTTTTAAAATAATTATGTTGCAAGTTTCAAGCGTGACATACATGTCGTTGCTGAAAGTCAACTTTCAGCAGTGACTTTTAATGTCGCCGCCGATTGTCAGCATTTTTTTATGTTTTCAAATTAGATTAAAATATTTTTCATAGGAAAAAATATATTTTTGTTTTACCAATTTCATGATATTCTTTTTATTTAAATTTCAATTTCTTTCCATTTTCATTTATTTAACCAAGTTGTATGTATGTATGTATGTATGCATAGATACACATACATATTTTGTAATATTATAAGTGGAGAGAGGTTTATGTTAATAGATAGAGAAGGGGCCATTTAACTCAATGCGTGTAAAATAAAAGTCTTCTGATTTTATAGAAGTTTAGAAAAATCATGGTTAAATTAGCTCTTTTGATTTGCTTCACTTAATTACATTTTTTTTGTGTTTAAATTATTTTTTGACAAGATTCAACTCTTGTTTTTTTTTATTTTTTTCTTTTCTTCTTTTGTCATATTTGTTTTCACCCGTGATTTCTTGTGTCTTTTTCTATTTTAAAAAGAATTTGGATATTCTGTACAAATATCTCTTTCAAATTTTTCTTTTATTTAATTTATTCTATTTCTATTTTTGAGATTTCTATTTGTTCTTCAATTCTTTTATAATGTATTTCTTTATTTCTACCTCTTCTACTTTTCTTTCAAGTTCACTATTCCTATTTGGCTATAGACTAAAACTCTTAAGACTTATCTTATTTTTCTTTTTTGACTTAGATCCTAATATGTTATCAAACCATCTCATATTTCTATTTCTACAAGTTTTATTTTCTATTGATATTGTTCTTCCTAGGCT